CACCCACCCTTACCCTACACAGCCTCACCCTCAGATCTCCAAATAATTCAGTTCATAATCGGACGACAAAAAAATTGTTCTGATCATCGTTATCGAAGTGAATAATCATTCGACTTCCTGATTGGCAAAAAGCCATATTGAAAAGTGTCTAATGTCGGAGTCGCTCAAACGTCGATCGCTCAAACGTCGGTTGACGCTAACAATCATATGTACACAACAATCATTGACTTTTTAATTCAGAAAACACGAAGCTTTCGCTTACGAATCGTAATCATCATCAGCTGTACTTTACAATAAAAAACATGTCACTATATACACATTCAGACCTGTTTATCTTATTCTTAGTTTTCGCTTTTACTATTCACTCACTTTTCCTTCTTGTTCTTCCGATGAATATATGTCAAACACAGCAAGAGAGAGAAACAGAAAAATATCAAGATTTCTTTATTGCAGTGTTCCTATCACATAAAAAACAATATCAATACCAACAGTGAAAAACTATCAAAAATAAATAAGAAAAACTATTTTACATCTCCAACATATTCTGGTATATGGCTGATAAGTTAAAAGTAACAAGAATATTTTTAATAGTAGAAGTGGTATTTGGTTTTTAAGAACGAACTACCATTTAGAAAAACGCTTATTGAAACCTACCAAGAAATTGATGATACGAATATTGGATTGATAATCAAAATTAATTGCGAAAAACGCCCCAAAGTTATCTTGGTTAAACAAAACAACGTATATGAGAAAGAACGGCACCACAACATGATGGATTAAAAGCAGCAGAAAAATCGGCGCGTGCTGTTCATCATATGTTAAACAGCAAGATTCACGTCGTGAAGCTTGGTAAACCAACGATTATCGTAACATACACACACTGAGAAAAGAGAGAAATTAAGTAGAAAATGAGGACGATGCATCATCCAACATCGTACAACAAAATCATTCACCAAATTTTAACTTTTCAAATGAACAGTTGTCGAGTATTCTCATATTGGCTTTTATTTTGGCTATGTTTAACATGTATCCATCGAAAAAGAAGAAAAAGAAGGAAAAGTAAGTGAATACTTGAAGCGAAAAATACGAATGAGATAAACAGGTCTGAATGTGTATATAGTGGTGTGTTTTTTATTGCAAAGTATAGCTGAAGATGATTACGATTGCTAATCGAAAGGTTTTCTGAATTAAAAAGTCAATGATTGCGGTGTGCATACGATTGTTATTATCATAAAGGATAGTATTTAGTATTATCTCAAGGTAATAGTTTTTTATTACATTGACTTATAAGATCCTTTGAAATGNTGAAAACAGTGAGTATTGACCATTTGTATCTAACATACGAAAGTGTCAATACTGGTACTCGCAGATAAAACTGAGTCAGATGGAGCGAGAGAAGAAATTGGTTGAGACGGATCATGATCAATCACTGACAGACGACAATATGGATCACTTAATCCTGAAAGGAAAGCAGATCATGTAAAGAAAGTTTATCTTGTTGAATAAAATATAGTGATGAATAAAAGTATTTTGCCACCTTATATGCTGAGAGGAATGGTAGTTATTGGTTTGAAATCTGGTTCGACCATTAAGCTAATTATAAGGTGCTGATAATTCGACGTTTCAGCACGATTTTATTGTTGTTTTATTTATGCATCATTCCATTGAGCTCTTCGGGCTGAATCCGAATATGTAGTTTTTAATTTTCCCAAACGCTTTTTTCATGTATTTTTGAAGTTGAAGTGTTGGTAGATACCTTTTTAGCTTCTGTCCATTCGGACGTCCATGACAGCCGAGTGTTTACCTCTGAACTGAGTCTGATACCACTTTCTAATTCGGTTTTCGATACTGAAGCAGAAAAAACTAATTTGAACATCCCGTGTTGTAACATAAGTCGAAAAAGTTAATTTTAATAAATAGAAAGAATTTTTCGACCTTTGACATCCTTCAATTTTTTTCGATTTTGAGGCGGGAAATAAGCATTTGGGAAAATGATATTCGGATTTAGCTCAAAGAGCTCTATCGAATGATGTACAAAGAAAACAACAATAAAGTAGTACTGAAACCTGAATTTGGAGCGCCTTACAAGAAGACTTGGTTTCATAGTTCCCGACATATCTTAGTTCACAGACCTAAATAACTTTTCAGATAACTGAAATCAATAGTTTATTTGTGCACAAAAATGTAGCGATGACTATTAAATATCTATTCAGAAACAAATGTGATACACGGCTCTTACTAGTAACAATTCAAATCATTTTATGATCGAACGACTTCAGTTCTGATTCTTTTTCAAAAAAAGCTGCCTTGATCGACTTAAACGTACAATTTAAGGTTGAAACTTTTAAAAACATTGTTGTACTTAACCACATTAGTCACATATACTATCAATATTAAGTGCCAGACGGATCAGAAATTTGGGTGAAATGTGAGTAAAAGAAAAGATTCAAAATTCAATTAAAACTTAAGATTATCCTGTTTAGATGTGGATTATATATCACTGTACATACCATTCGCAGCTTTACCAATTAAATTTTTAGCCTTTTTAACTTGCACAATTAAAATATAAGGCTAAAAAGACAAACACTATAACTTTTGGCTTATTCTGTTTTAATAATATCATTAGATTTACCTTGACAGGAGTTTCTTTTTCATATTTTTCTCTGTGTTCATTTATATTTACATCAAATAACTAAGACGTCATAAATTAAACTAAAGATCTTTTATCAAATGTTTACCACTTTACCTTTCTAACATGTTCAGCCAATCGAAAACTCGTTGGTCCATTTTCGTGGACACGCAATGGACTACAAGCAGCTCGTAATGCACATTCATATAATCGAGACTATTTTAAAAGATAGAAAAAAACTATATAGTAAGTAGTATATCACTTTCTTTAACTACTGTAATTCTAATAAAATTATCTCTCTTACTATTTCTCTAAACAACGTTTTTCGAGTACATGAAAATGTTTCCCCTATACATAATTTCTCACGTTTATAATGGTATAGTATCATGAATTAGTATTAGTTTTGAAAACTAAATAAAGCAATTAGTCAAAATGAAGCTTTAGAAAGATAATATTTGCGAAGACATGTATGATTTTAACTAAAGATAAATCACTATAGTTTAATTTATTATAGGTAAAAGATGGATGTTACATTCTATCTCTACCTCAGACATATAGTATAAAGAACGATATAAAATATAAAGATAGTATTCAAAAAAAGCACGCTCTTGCAATGATTATACAAAAGAGTGACTTCAAATGTAATAAATATATAAAAATGTTAAGCAAGATTAAAAGCATGTAAATTGTTATTGTTCTCGAATAAAAAAGCAGAATGGAATAAGCACATCAACCCCCTTTTCTTACTTTTAAAACAGTATCGGTCTTCTCCATTAGAATAGTTATTTGTTGTCTAAAACGCTAAAACATAATTTGGTTTATAACGCAGCAAAAGAAAACAATTAACTATTTCGACTTGAAAATCACAAATACGTTCTTTATGTGTTTATAAACAAGTACCAAAACAAATAGAAAAATATTCTGCTTAACATTTTTACTTATTTAAAGTAAAATACAAAATATGTACTAGAAAAATTCAGTTTTCAATAGAGACACTGTTTGTTTCTTCCTTTAGTTTTAATACTTCAGTTGTTTCTTTTCTTTTAGTAATCCTAATAATTTCTTGTATGATTGTAAACGTAATCGATGTCTCAAAAATAAACATGTTATTTAATATTTTGGTTGTCTTTTCAAGAATAGTCAACTTTACATTTACCATTCCATTGATATTTTAAATTAAATACTTGATTATCACAAACTTGATAAGTATTACATTCATTCATGGCACAAATCAGCCACGGGAATTTTACCAATGGTGAATAGTGAATTTCTTCATTCTGAAAAGTTGCTTATAAGATACAATCATTTAGCAGTTTAGAAAATGCATTACTTTTAAAAATGCACCAGCAATTTCAAAAGCACGATCTTCAACATTTCTATCCCATTGAGTTATACCAGTTGTGTCTGTATTCATAGATGTCTGCTGAATGCTGTTCAACTCCTAAGCTAAAGAAGTTGAACATGTGCTTGAACACAAATAGAAAGACATTTTGTGCATATTCTGTAGTTGCGTTCTTCTTAACCATTTTTCTTGAGATTTTGAATATTGTCATGTCGATACTCTAAGTTGCTCAACAACTAAAATTTAAAATGGTTAAAATTAGAATATGGTATCCGCTTCTTATTGTTTACTACAAACCATGATCAACAATTTTCTTTCCATTTTTTCTTCTTCAGATAATCCTAAAAGAATTATGAAATTCTTTAAAATCAATTGCTTGAAATACTCCATGGGTACAATCAACGGTACTAAATAAATAAATAAACAATAAAAAAACTATTATCTTGAGATAATACTAAACTAGGTGCGGGCAATTCGGACTTCACGTAAAAGTTTTCTTTTCGTCTTTCTACATATGGTTCGATAGAACGTGATCAGCTGATTAAGAAAAACTGTTTTTTAGCTTTTAAAAATATTTTTTCAAGTCGACAAAACGTGAAAACTTGAAGAAAACCCTTTCGAAAAGACATGTATTTTAAAAATATGCGAAATTTTCTGTTTCACTCTTTATCAGCTTATCAGACTATCTTTTCAGATTCCGCGTTAAAAACTGAGTATAGATAAGATGTTAAATCTACTTTAACCTGAAAAGCCTTTTCATGGTGGAGGTTTTATATTAGTCTAGCAAAATTATGTCTATGAGAAAGAATGGAACAACATCATGATGGATTAAAAGAAGCAGGGAAATCGGCGGGTGCTGCTGATCCTATGTTAAACAGCAAGAATCCTGTCGTGAAGTTTGGTGAATCAACGATTATGGTAACATTTTGCTATGCCGCGCATTAGAGTCGTGTCATAAGGAAGGAGATCATACTTAAGGTTATTGTACAACAATATAGTCTAAGTAATAGCGTAAAAATATATTCAAGGGTATCATACACGACTATGGTCAAGGCTATTGCATAAAGTATAGTCAAGATTATTGTGCAATATTGCGTGTATAAATAGATCGTTTTTATTGTTAAAAAGAATCTGCTTACTTGTAAATAAACGGTGGTCATGTACATCAGAATAGTCGGTCCTAACACAGATACACACTAGAAGAAGAGAGAAATTAAGGAGACAATGGGAACGATGCATCATCCAACATCGTACAACAAAATCATTCACCAAATTTTAACTTTCCAAATGAACAGTTATCGAGTATTCTCATATTGGCTTTTGTTTTGGCTATGTTTAACATGTATCCAGCGGAAGAAGGAAAAGTAAGTGAATACTGAAAGCGAAAACTAAGAATGAGATAAACAGATCTGAATGTGTATATAGTGGTGTGTTTTTTATTGCAAAGTATAGCTGAAGATGATTACGATTGCTAATCGAAATGTTTTCTGAATTAAAAAGTCAATGATTGCGGTGTGCATACGATTGTTATTATCATAAAGGATAGTATTTAGTATTATCTCAAGGTAATAGTTTTTTATTACATTGACTTATAAGATCCTTTGAAATGAAAATACTCATTGATTTTATTCTTTTGTCTCGCATGTAGATAAATGGTCTATAAGGCATGTCTCAAGAAATGTAAACGCGTTTGTTTAATACACGGCTAGACTAATTGTTTACGAAATGTTGCACGAGATAGATATCAGAACGTGATGTTTCTAATATGAGTAACTTACCTCACCTATTGGAAAATGCAAGGCAAAATGAAGGGTTCTATCATCAATCTAAAGTGTTTAAATATCTTAACGAAAAACTGAAAAGGCGACTAGATAAGATTAATATTGAAAGATAGATCATAATGTTACACACTACTCTAGTCAGATCTAAATTCTAATCCATTTTCTCGAGTTCTTAACTCAATTTGTTGTCTGAAACAAATGGTGATTATCGGTCTGCTAGACAAAAACAAAGGAAATAAGACTGGAACTGTGCTATTCATGTATAAAGCATGAGCATTTATCTGACACAGTTAATTTAGACAACAAACCTGATCTTTAGAGAGCTAAGAGCTTACCTTTATCTCATCAATCCGATTTTTAGGTGCACTCTGAAAAGAATGGTGCTTGTATGCCATGTCATCAATTTTCTATTCATACATACCAGTTTAAAATGAATTTTTAAAACGAGTAAGACTTCTCCACGATTATTACCACGATATTCACTTGGTCCTGTTAACTGAAACCATTTTTCACCATCAAAACTTGCAAGTGACTAAATAAACACAAGTAATATACAGTAATGATAGTAAAAATAATCTGCTGATAAAAATATAATACTTTGATATCCAAACGAACTTCACCAAGAAAACCATTACTAATTGTTCCTGTTTTAATATAATCACAGAGATCTTTGAATTGTCTAGAAAAGAAAAATTGAAATTGCATCTTTTATGAAAGTGGCGTTTCACTAAAATAAAAGGAAAGTCCAGATATCTAACTTTAGTCACGTGCAAGATCTCTCATAATATCTTACTGCCTGACGCCGCGTTTTTCCACCAGCACATTGCGTACACCAGTACCTTTACTATCCGAATCCAAAACAGATATGACAAGAACTTGATTCGTTACATTTTCAATCTCACTAGAAACGAGAATCGCTAAGTTATGAAGATCATTGAGAAAATAAATCGAACGTACAATTCAAATTGTTCATTCCATTCAGGTTCAACTGTTTGTGGACGGATTTCGGTTTCATATGAATTTAAATTTGATGTCGAAGATTTTTTCTGTGATTTCCAACGCATACGTTTTTGACGTGTAAGACTTGATGAACGTTTTGGATGGTCTATATGAATGAAAACAGTGAGTATTGACCATTTGTATCTAACATACGAAAGTGTCAATACTGGTACTCGCAGATAAAACTGAGTCAGATGGAGCGAGAGAAGAAATTGGTTGAGACGGATCATGATCAATCACTGACAGACGACAATATGGATCACTTAATCCTGAAAGGAAAGCAGATCATGTAAAGAAAGTTTATCTTGTTGAATAAAATATAGTGATGAATAAAAGTATTTTACCACGTTATATGCTTTTATGTACGAAATTGCCTTTGTTTATATGACAGGAAAAGAAACAGAAGAACTAACATGGTTTTATCCAACGTCTTTCTCAGGCCTACTATTTCACCTATTGTCGGATAGCAAGGTGACTCACATATCCAATATAATCTTTCGTAAAAGGAAATTTATTCTGTACCTACGTTATAGCGAGAAACGTCGGCGTTGTAGATACCATAGGGAAAAAATTCCGAGCGATTATGTGTGAAATTGCCTTTGTTTATATGACAGGAAAAAAAACAGAAAGCTAACGTGATTTTATCCAACTCACCTGTACTCTTTCAGTTGCTGTCACACTTATCTAAAACAATCTTTCGAAAGGGATTGTTATTCTTTGCTTACGTTATAGGATAAAATTGCGGAATTGTGAACACCGCAAGTAGAATAGCGACCCATATATTTATAAAGTTGGGGCTTCTGTGCATGACAAGATGATGAATGTGTTTTTAACTGTGGAGAAGAACTGGAAAAGAGTAACATATGAACAAGGAATTTTTTTCTGGATGTATTTCTATTGCTGCGATGCCTATCGAACGAAGTCTTTATCTTTTATTCCCTTCGAGTTATTCAAACAATAATGACCGACCTTCTTTTTTGGAACGGAGAGTAGCTATGTTGAAGAAAAAACTGAATTTTAAGAGAACCACGAGACTGACGCTCGGGAAACTTTCTTTCCCTTAATCATCAATGTTAGCATGATATAACGTAATAACAGAAAAAAGATCTGATTCAGATTTTTTTTCAAAATTTTCACTCACACCGTACAATACCAGCGCAAAGTTCGATAAAAAGTAACGTAGTCGGATAGGATAGAAATACATATCAGTCAACTCATTTTTGGATTCTGACTCCGAATATGCTACTTTTATTGCATAAAAGTTGAGTTCTGATGGAGAAAATTGAGAATTACTAGCAGAATTCTGACTTTCTCACCTTATATTCAGAAAAAATGAATTAACGAGCAAAAGAACCTTGTGAAAAAATTGGAAAATGCCCTATACCTAGGGGAATTTTCAAAAAGATTTCTCCAAAAAGCACTTCTAATAGGGGACGGACTTCAAGTACGTGAGGTGACCGTTGGACTAGTAGCAGGCGACAAAATTTGGCCACAACAGAAGACCACCCTTTAGAACTTGACTTATGGGGGGAGGGGGGGTATGAGATTAAGAGACGTGAATAAAATTTCTGTGTGCTTATTTTGAGCTTAAACTGTAGGTGAATCTGAAATGAATTGCATGGTGTTCTCGAAGAGAAAGCCGGGTAAAACATGATGAAATTAGCGTCCTAGTGCTTCTAGAAAATCACTTCATTTTTCACCTTTTTTGGCATGGTTGGATAGAACTCATCGTGTTGCATCGGAAAAACATAATCCCACATTTTAAGAAGTTATTTTTTAGTAATGTTAAAATAGAAATTTTTGGAAAATAAGTAAAAATCTGAATTTATTTCATGCATTCGCACTTTCAATCACATAAAAGAAAATAATTTCCGAAATCGGAAAAAAAAACTTTGTTTCATAATTGATTTATTGAGCGTTTCAGAACGTTTTGTCGTGGTAGAGCAGTCTGCAGAGTGTACACGGTTGGAAATAATATTTTTCCAGGGGGGGTAGAGCTAAAACTACAAATGATATAAAAATTTATTATATACCAAATTCATGTTCATCTAAAATGGAATTGCTGTATACGACTGATATTCTGTATGACGATTATTGGCTGTAGAACTATGGAAGTTTCTATCGAGTGCGTCATAATGATTAAATTCTGGGTGTAGCCGTGCTTTGAGTAAAAGTCCCGTAACTTCAACAAAACAAACGCTTTTTCGATCGGGTTTGTTTTGTTTTGATCAGGAATGATTGCTTTTCTATTACTAATTCTGAAATCAAACCATCAATCAGGTTTTCCATTTCTTACTTCGGCACATTGCTGAAAATGAGGAAAAATTTTTGAAACTTAGTTCTCCAGCCCACCATCTGCTCTAAAAAACATTTTTCACAGGCCAGAGGAAACAGCATATTCAGAAGTACAAAAAGAACTGCGTTCTCACTTTTGCTACACTCTTTTGCGTGAATAACTGCTGAAGAAAAAAGTCAAGTCGAAAAAATACCAACTATACAAAGTTTTCATTTTTTCGCCTTTCGTATAATTTACGTAGTTTCCTTGATTAAAGTTCTAAAATTAAAGTTTAGGTATGATTTTGTAGAATATTTCGTGGCGCATCTTTTAAAAAAAACACTAATCGCGAGATCCTGAACGTACACGAGAAAAATAGAAAATACTGAGAGGCTCATTCATTATGATGCACTCGATAGAAATTTCCATAGTTCTACAGTCAATAAGCGTCATACGGAATATCAGTCATACACATCAATTCCATTTTAGATGAGCATTAATTTGGTATATAATACATTTTTATATCATCTGTAGTTTCAGCTCTACTCCCCCTGGAAAAATATTATTTCCAACCGTGTATGTATTAAATTCACTTAATATCAATGGCGGTTTCGTTTGTAAAAATCAAATTTTAAATGTCAGGTGAACATTTTCCAATAATTTCTCAATTCCAAATAGTTACTCATATTTTATAGAATGATCAAAATTGTGAATTTTTTTATACAATGCGTAATTTATTATTGACAACAAATACGATCATTCAGTTAAGCAAACAAATAATTTTAAAGTATTTTCAGAAGATTTTTGTTATAAAGGAACATTAAAATTAATTATATTCTTATAGTCCAATCCTATTAGGTTCTATTTCTCGAGTTTTTCGCGATTGTCCGTATTCTCCGTAAAATTTGTATTTGTAAAATTATAACGTGTGTACGTCCGGTGCTTGAATATTCTTGTGTATAACGGGTGTTCCAGAATAAATCGGTCACTTAGTATTTTGCTCATATCTTAGTTGAATTGTATCCCCTAAGCTTTGTTGTTTTCTTAAAAGATGTGCCGTAAAATTCTCTACAAAAAATATATTAAA